AATTGCGAAAAGTGTTAGACCTGGTTAGTCCTGATCGTAAAAATCCAATTTCAAACGTTAAACAATCCTAATTTATCTTAATCGTGAATTTTAAAATTGCGAAAAGTGTTAGTCCTGGTTAGTCCTGATCGTAAAAATCCATTTTTAAACGTAAAACAAGCCTAATTTGCCTTAATCGTAGTTTTTGAAATTACGAAAAGTGTTAGTCCTAGTTAGTCCTGATCGTAAAAATCCAATTTCAAACGTCAAACAAGCCTAATTTGCCTTAATCGTAGATTTTGAAATTACGAAAAGGGTTAGTCCTAGTTAGTCCAGATCGTAAAAATCCAATTTCAAACGTCAAACAAGCCTAATTTGCCTTAATCGTAGATTTTGAAATTATGAAAAGTGTTAGTCCTAGTTAGTCCTGATCGTAAAAATCCAATTTCAAACGTCAAACAATCCTAATTTGCCTTAATCGTAGATTTTTAAATTATGAAAATTGTAAGTCATAGTTAGTCCTGATCGTGAAAATCCAATTTCAAACGTCAAACAATCCTAATTTATCATTATCGTGAATTTTAAAATTGCGAAAAGTGTTAGTCCTGGTTAGTCCTGATCGTAAAAATCCAATTTCAAACGTCAAACAATCCTAATTTGCCTTAATCGTAGATTTTGAAATTACGAAAAGTGTTAGTCCTAGTTAGTCCTGATCGTAAAAATCAAATTTCAAACGTCAAACAATCCTAATTTGCCTTAATCGTAGATTTTGAAATTACGAAAAGAGTTAGTCCTAGTTAGTCCTGATCGTAAAAATCCAATTTCAAACGTCAAACAATCCTAATTTGCCTGAATCGTAGATTTTGAAATTACGAAAAGTGCTAGTCCTAGTTAGTCCTGATCGTAAAAATCCAATTTCAAACGTCAAACAATCCTAATTTGCCTTAATCGTAGATTTTGAAATTACGAAAAGTGTTAGTCCTAGTTAGTCCTGATCGTAAAAATCAAATTTCAAACGTCAAACAATCCTAATTTGCCTTAATCGTAGATTTTGAAATTACGAAAAAAGTTAGTCCTAGTTAGTCCTGATCGTAAAAATCCAATTTCAAACGTCAAACAATCCTAATTAATCTTTATGGTGAATTTTAAAATTGCGAAAAGTGTTAGTCCTGATTAGTCCTGATCGTAAAAATCCAATTTCAAACGTCAAACAATCCTAATTTATCATTATCGTGACTTTTAAAATTGCGAAAAGTGTTAGACCTGGTTAGTCCTGATCGTAAAAATCCAATTTCAAACGTTAAACAATCCTAATTTATCTTAATCGTGAATTTTAAAATTGCGAAAAGTGTTAGTCCTGGTTAGTCCTGATCGTAAAAATCCATTTTTAAACGTAAAACAAGCCTAATTTGCCTTAATCGTAGTTTTTGAAATTACGAAAAGTGTTAGTCCTAGTTAGTCCTGATCGTAAAAATCCAATTTCAAACGTCAAACAAGCCTAATTTGCCTTAATCGTAGATTTTGAAATTACGAAAAGGGTTAGTCCTAGTTAGTCCAGATCGTAAAAATCCAATTTCAAACGTCAAACAAGCCTAATTTGCCTTAATCGTAGATTTTGAAATTATGAAAAGTGTTAGTCCTAGTTAGTCCTGATCGTAAAAATCCAATTTCAAACGTCAAACAATCCTAATTTGCCTTAATCGTAGATTTTGTAATTACGAAAAGTGTTAGTCCTAGTTAGTCCTGATCGTAAAAATCCAATTTAAACGTCAAACAATCCTAATTTGTCTTAATCGTAGATTTAGAAATTACGAAAAGTGTTAGTCCTGATCGTAAAAATCCAATTTCAAACGTCAAACAATTCTAATTTGCCTGAATCGTAGATTTTGAAATTACGAAAAGTGTAAGTCCTGGTTAGTCCTGATCGTAAAAATCCAATTTCAAACGTCAAACAATCCTAATTTGCCTTAATCGTAGATTTTGAAATTACGAAAAAAGTTAGTCCTAGTTAGTCCTGATCGTAAAAATCCAATTTCAAACGTCAAACAATCCTAATTAATCTTTATCGTGAATTTTAAAATTGCGAAAAGTGTTAGTCCTGATTAGTCCTGATCGTAAAAATCCAATTTCAAACGTCAAACAATCCTAATTTGCCTTAATCGTAGATTTTGAAATTACGAAAAGTGTAAGTCCTGGTTAGTCCTGATCGTAAAAATCCAATTTCAAACGTCAAACAATCCTAATTTGCCTTAATCGTAGATTTTGAAATTACGAAAAGTGTTAGTCCTAGTTAGTCCAGATCGTAAAAATCCAATTTCAAACGTCAAACAAGCCTAATTTGCCTTAATCGTAGATTTTGAAATTATGAAAAGTGTTAGTCCTAGTTAGTCCTGATCGTAAAAATCCAATTTCAAACGTCAAACAATCCTAATTTGCCTTAATCGTAGATTTTAAAATTATGAAAATTGTAAGTCATAGTTAGTCCTGATCGTGAAAATCCAATTTCAAACGTCAAACAATCCTAATTTATCATTATCGTGAATTTTAAAATTGCGAAAAGTGTTAGTCCTGGTTAGTCCTGATCGTAAAAATCCAATTTCAAACGTCAAACAATCCTAATTTGCCTTAATCGTAGATTTTGAAATTACGAAAAGTGTTAGTCATAGTTAGTCCTGATCGTAAAAATCCAATTTCAAACGTCAAACAATCCTAATTTGCCTTAATCGTAGATTTTGAAATTACGAAAAGAGTTAGTCCTAGTTAGTCCTGATCGTAAAAATCCAATTTCAAACGTCAAACAATCCTAATTTGCCTGAATCGTAGATTTTGAAATTACCAAAAGTGCTAGTCCTAGTTAGTCCTGATCGTAAAAATCCAATTTCAAACGTCAAACAATCCTAATTTGCCTTAATCGTAGATTTTGAAATTACGAAAAGTGTTAGTCCTAGTTAGTCCTGATCGTAAAAATCAAATTTCAAACGTCAAACAATCCTAATTTGCCTTAATCGTAGATTTTGAAATTACGAAAAAAGTTAGTCCTAGTTAGTCCTGATCGTAAAAATCCAATTTCAAACGTCAAACAATCCTAATTAATCTTTATGGTGAATTTTAAAATTGCGAAAAGTGTTAGTCCTGATTAGTCCTGATCGTAAAAATCCAATTTCAAACGTCAAACAATCCTAATTTATCATTATCGTGACTTTTAAAATTGCGAAAAGTGTTAGACATGGTTAGTCCTGATCGTAAAAATTCAATTTCAAACGTTAAACAATCCTAATTTATCTTAATCGTGAATTTTAAAATTGCGAAAAGTGTTAGTCCTGGTTAGTCCTGATCGTAAAAATCCATTTTTAAACGTAAAACAAGCCTAATTTGCCTTAATCGTAGTTTTTGAAATTACGAAAAGTGTTAGTCCTAGTTAGTCCTGATCGTAAAAATCCAATTTCAAACGTCAAACAAGCCTAATTTGCCTTAATCGTAGATTTTGAAATTACGAAAAGGGTTAGTCCTAGTTAGTCCAGATCGTAAAAATCCAATTTCAAACGTCAAACAATTCTAATTTGCCTGAATCGTAGATTTTGAAATTACGAAAAGTGTTAGTCCTAGTTAGTCCTGATCGTAAAAATCAAATTTCAAACGTACCGTCAAACAATCCTAATTTATCTTTATCGTGAATTTTAAAATTGCGAAAAGTGTTAAATCTGGTTAGTCCTGATCGTAAAAAACCAATTTCAAACGTCAAACAAGCCTAATTTGCAAAATTCTGCATTGATTGCAAATTCCTATTCATCATCGCAGTGTGCTCACCAAAGCGGAGCGAGAAGCAAGAATGGGAGTTGGAAATGACTATGATGATGACGATGAAAAACAAGGTGTTGCTAAGCCGCTTAATGTTGGAAATACAGATAACCATCTGAGTTCTGACGAAGAGGCGGAAGGCGAGGACGACGACGCTACCACTTCCCGCATGAAATCAAAGCACAATGCACAATGAAGATAGGGATTATGAAGATCCAGAGGAAGAGGAGGAAGAAATAGGTTTGCACCCGCGAGTACTGAATTGATATTTTCAATTTTAATCGTACAATTTGCCAGAACCAATGAAAATGACGACGAGGTTGATGATGAGATCCGGGAGGCTGTTCCCGAACTGAATATGTCGATCACTACTGCAGATCAAGAGGCGTTTCTTTGATGCAGTGCATGATAATGACGACACTCGCAGTAGTGATCGAGCCTTGGCTGTCAAGCAGAAATCCGTTTTTCTCCTGCAATATAGATATGACGCTCAGGAGGAGTTGTGGTGTGAAGCTGTGTTGGGGGTTTGTTTGTAAATCCAAAAAAATAGAAGCTTTATATTAATTATCTGATTATAGGTTCCACTGAAATACAAAAAGGTAGACATGTCCACTCTTTTGCAAGAGGTTGCACACAAAGCATTCATTTGGCAAAGTGCTGTCAATCTACAAGGCGTTTATTTACACGAGTTCCAAGGATGAGATGATGCTGGAAGTTGACGGAATGAACATAACCGTAACTTTTACCGATAATATTTTGGTTGAAAAGTACTAAAATTTTGAATTTATCTAGAAAATATTCAAATATATCACAAGATCCTCGACATCAGTAGGATATATGTCAACAACATTAACGCCTTCGCACAAGTTTACGGCATAGAAGCGGCGGCCAGTCGGATTTTGGTGAAAGTGCAACAGCGCTCATCAGAGGGAATCAGAACTCATTTCTTCTCCATTGCAGCAGATGACCTTCGAGTCATCGCTCACCTTCCTGCGAAGTGCAGTTCTGGAGGCAAAAACCGGCCATGTTTGATTGCTGGCCAGGCTATCAAAAGTTGCAATGGGTTTTTTTATTTGAGGATAAAGCTTTCTTTGTATTCCTCTATCAGTATTCATTTTTGCATATGATCTTAAACCTACAGTTTACAAGCTTTAGCGATTTGTGAAAACTGCTTGATAGCTTTATTTCAATCAAATAAAATTTAAATCTTCCAATTAAATTTGCAACGTAAATGTTGTTTCATTTCACGTAGTTTGAACGATTTAGGTGAATAATGATTATTATTATTATTTTTCTGAATAGTTTTTTTAAAGTAAAAGAACAGTGACACAAAAGAAAATCGGTTTTGCTATGTTTGCAGCTGCATACAAACTGGGAAGTTGGCAATAGAAACTTAAATGCATGGGTTGTTAGTTGTTTTTATATATAGATGAAAATATAGATGGATATCAGAGAGGTGACGGTTGTACTTGATCAGCACTTCGCTTTGATTGATCTTTGTTCGTCTCGAAGATCTCGGCTAACAGTTCCTCGTTCTCTCTTTCTTCCTCTAACTCTTCCCTTGCGAGAGCCACCCTCTTTTCAGCACGGACGCGTCTTTCTCGAGCTTCTCTGATAAGGTCGTGTTCGAGTTTATTGATAGTCGAATCAAAGTGTTGTGTCAGGTCCGACACAATATGCTGGAAGTTTTTTTTGGTAGTTGCTTGGCCACCGCAATTTCAGCCGGAGTGTCGAGATGGGCTTCGGACGAGCAGGTGACGAAGCGGGAGGAGCAAATTCTCACGAGAGTGATTTTGGCTGAAAAAAAATTTTTTTTCCAAAAACATTCATACATTAAAAGATTTGAATTACGCGTGTCAGCCTTCAAATCAACATCATGCCCAGAAACTGCAAGCAGTATGGCCAAAATGTTTCCATTCAGTTCTTCGAACTTTCCCTCGGCGATGATGGCCCGGGTTTCTGACGAGAAATCTTGGTCGACTGGGAATACTGGGATGACTGATGTTGGGAAGTCGACTATATGGCATTCGTCTGCGTTCATATAGTAGTAGTCCAAGATTATTTTCCTCAAGGTGTACCCAGCTGTCAGAGAAATACACACATATTAACAAAATATATGAACAGCCAAGAATCAAGTGTGAATTAAAATATTCTCAAGCTGAGAGCAAGCGAAATTCTCATTTGAGTCAATAAATCAAAAATTTAAATATGTAAAATATTCTCTTACGAGACTATTCACGCACATATGTAACTTGACTTACCCTCACTGAAAAGATTTTTGTAGTGGCCGCGAATGGATAGTGCCAAGAGCATCATTTCTCTCAGTGAAAAGGTGTTCACGAAGCCTTGCCATTGGAAAAAATGTCCAGGAAATCATCGTCTCTGCCTTTTTGCAGGACCCGGGGGAACTTGGAGATAACGGAGATGGTGATGGAAGAGCTGAGCGGCAGGCATGATGGTGATTTAAAAGTGGAGATTAATAAAATTTCAGTCCGAGTAAAACGAGAGAATTTTGAAAGAATGAATTTTTCTTTGATATTTGAAACCGTTAAGGAAACAATGAGAAAGGCAACAAAACAAAATAATAATAAAAAAATGTATTGTGTTGCTGCTGTATCAGCCGAGAATTGTTTACTTTGACTTTGACTCGTTGGAGCGGTTGGAGGAGGGGAGTAGCTCAAAAAGGGGGCGAGGCCGTGATTTATTTTTCTTCAATTCAAGGGACAAGGGATCTGAAAAGATCTGGAAAAGATCCTTTGAGGCTCGGGATAATTGGGATATTATATTCATGGACTTCATTTTATAGCAACATTTGACTTTGACATTGACCATTAAAGCAGCATTACAAGGTCAAGTGAGCTTTTAATGCTGCAGGGAAAGTAGGGGAGGCGCTGTCTCGCGGTGCTGCCAGAATGATGATGTCATGGCTGCCAAGCTGAGGTGGCCGGCGCTTCGATTTAAAGACACACTCGAGAGCGTTATGTAGTGGTCGAAAAGCGCCCGCGTCTCGATCGACCAACAGCCGAAGAGTTCGAGCGAGCAAAGTTGGCGTCGAAAATCGACGTTCACGACCGATAAACACGCCACCGTGATCGCTGGCGGGCGCGGCCGCGCGCGATGAGCAAAAAGAGCGAAAACGTAAGCGTCCGAGGCGCAGTAAATTCAAGGCCAATCCATTTGTTTTCTCCAAACATTGATTTGATCAAATTCGCAGGGTGACGATGAGAGCAAGTGGCGGTGGCGGCCACCGCCGCGCGGCGTCGGTGCCGACGCGTACACGTTGTGCGACGCGTGGAAAAACGGCGGGACGTGTCGCTATGGCGTGCAGTGCGTCGAGGCGCACGGCCAGGACGAATTGGACGAGTGGCGGTGCCGCTTCGAAGAACGGAAGGCCCGTCTCGCCACGAGCACGTACACCGAAGGCCTCCTGGAAAAGTGGAATTCGTCCGACGAGAAGTCGGAAGTCATCTCGGAGCAGCTGCCCGCGGGCGTTGCGTCCCTGACCTGCGAAGACCTAGCAAATGTTGTCGCTGCCAACAAACACAGCAAGACGCAGTGGACCATCTCTGCACAGTCTCTGGGCAAAACAAGGCTCAAGGTGGTCGCCCTGCTGCAGGATAATTGTCGAGAGCAATTTCGACTCACCGAGATCCAGGTCTTAAAAATTAAATATATTTTTTAGTATTCAAGATAAACAAATTGGTCAGCTGCAAATTTTCTTTTCATTTTTTAAGGCCCTTGAAATGGAATTTTTATTATTTAGCAGAATGATTAATGACTCTTTGTTATGATGTTTTTTTTTTAATACAAAAGAAATCAATAAAAATGTAAATTTATCTGAATTGGGAAAGCAAATGGTATTGAACTAGTTAAGAGCAGCGCGTTTCCAGTTTTTAAAGACAATACTGCAGCAAGAAAATTTAATATTATTCCTCTAACTTTGTTATTGTTTTCACAATATCGAGGCTGACTACTTTCAATAATATTTTCTATTTGACATTGATGTAGCAGATTGTCTTGAACAATTTGAACACTTCAAGTTGCTTTGTTAATGAGCTTTAATAATCTAAAACATTTTCTTCAATAACGTTAAAGCAAATGATATTAAATTTCAACTATTTAACTTGAATTAAATTAAGAGATTTTAAAATTTGATTAAGTTATTTATTCAAATTGTATTGTTAGGTTAAAAATTAAATAACTAAAGACTCAGAAAAATTTATTATGGATTTCATTTTTTCTTTGTGAGTTTTTACTGGGATGTCGGCTATTTTATTATTTTTGTTGTTGTTAATTCTTCACAAATCAAGTCTAAAATAAAATATGAGCAAGTTTGCCCTTGTTTGGCTATGGTATTAAAATGAGCCATGTTCTGTTATGATATATTTCTATACCAATTTTGTTCTTCAGATTCGCTCTGGAAATGGAACAGCGCACACATGGCGTCCGAACACCAATCAAGACTGGAAAGTTCCTGACAGTGCTTACAAAGGTCTGAAGGCTGATGCCAAAGTTCACTACAAGATAAAAGTTCAATTTTCTACGGAAATCTATGGCACATTCCGCCAGTCAATTGTTTTTGACTTCGGTACCTTTCCTGTGACGGTGAAGCACGTCAGTGTAGAGGTCGTTCCTGGACCAAACAAATCTGAAGAGGGCGATGCGGTCGAGGGTGACCCTGAGGAGGAACAAGAACGCCTGGCAGAGGTCAGAAGTTTGGTGGTCAGTTCGGCTGGGCGCTGGGTTGACGGGATCAACGCTTCGGTTATCCCGTTCTTCTCGGACGCTTACAAATGCTTGCCCTTGACCCAGCAGCCGAGGTACATGCCCTCGGATTCGGATAAAAAACTGCTGGCCACCTACCCTGTACCCCAAGCAAACGAGTTTCCCTTCACTGATGCTGTCATGGAACGAGCAATCACCATGACAAACTACATCGAAAGATTACATCAACTTCTTTTTATTGAAGAACTTGCTAGGTGGGTTTTGTTATTAACTTTTTATTAGGTACTTGACTGAAAACTATTATTTTATGAAGGTACGACTTAGTGTCACATTTCAACGTAGAAGTCAAGTTGCACTTGGCATCGAGTTATTTGTTGGCCACCACATCAGCTCCAGGAAGTGGAGGTGGTGGAGGTGGCACGGCAAAGTATGCGCCTCCAGGAGAGTTGTATGCACACTTAGCCTTGAGCAAGGATATTTCGGAGGATACTTGCTCTGGTAGACTCATTTTAAACAACTGCACTTCAATTTTCATCTCCTCAGCATCTGAAAAAGAGAAAATGGTAGTGTCTATTTGAAAAAAAAGTATTGATACAAATTAATTTTTCCTGCTCTAGGATAAAGATACAAAACGAACCGTTTATGAAGCGGTCATCGAGGACAAGGGAAAGAATGTTGTATATCTTCGGCTTTCGTCAGACTTAGTGAAATACTACAACCTGAAAGCCGACATGGATTTCCCAGCAGATGTTCAGTTCCAGCTTAATAGGGTTCCATTTTGCGAGTGGCACTATTCCGTAGACCAGATGAAACCCAACGTCAGTCTTGTTTTTCCTGAAACCACAAAGCATCCGAGTATCCCATGGAATCCTCAAAGGCAATGATTTTAAGCAACCATATTTCTCGTCTTTAACTTTTTACAAATTGTAGGCAATGGAATGACAGTTTAGACTCGAGATTGAATCCGAAGCAGAGGGAAGCCGTAATTGCAATAACAACCCCAGTGGAAACTCCTTTGCCTCCCATCCTGCTGATAGGCCCTTTTGGCACTGGCAAGACTTACACCCTAGCACAAGGAATCAAGCAAATTCTGCTGCAGCCCAACACGAGAGTATTAGTTTGCACGCACTCCAACAGTGCAGCAGATCTGTACATCAAAGACTACCTTCACCCCTATGTGCTGGATGGTCACGAGGAAGCAAGGCCTTTGAGAATCTACTTCACTCAGAGATGGGTGACGACCGTTCACCAAACTGTGCAAAAAGTAGTCCCCAAAACTTTCTCTTTTATTGTTATTGACATACGCAATTCTCATCTTACAGTACTGTTTGATCAATGTTTCCGAAACAGAACGAACATTTAGGAGTCCCACAGAAGAAGATATTATGAGGCATCGGGTTATTGTTGTTACGTTGAGCATATCGACGTACCTCTCCAGCATGGGACTGAAAAAAGGCCACTTCACCCACATCTTGTTGGACGAAGCGGCTCAAGCAATGGAGTGTGAGGCCATCATGCCTTTGGCAATTGCAGATGAAAACACGCGAATTGTGCTTGCTGGAGACCACATGCAGGTAAAGTGTTGACTCGGGTTTACGCTGAAAGAGTTTATTAACGCCATATTATCTTTACAGCTTAGCCCGGAGGTTCATTCGCCTTTTGCTAGAGAGAAGGGGCTGCATTTCTCCCTTTTGGAACGCTTGTACGACCATTACCCCTCAACCTTCCCCTGCAAAATTCTTCTATGCGAAAACTACCGTGCCCACGAAGCAATCATTCAATTTACATCGGAGCTCTTTTATGACCAAAAGTTGATCAGTAGTGGAAACCAGCCCAGGCACGAAAAATTATACCCGCTAACATTTTACACAACTAGAGGAGAGGACATTCAAGAGACAAACAGTACGGCTTTTTACAATAATGCAGAGGTAAATTTTGTTTAAAATTTTGTCGATGGAAATTAAATCTTTTTTCGCAGGTTTATGAGTTGGTTGAACGTGTTGCTGATTTGAGGAAAAAGTGGCCGAAAGAATGGGGACGACTGGACGAGCATAGCATTGGTGTCATGACGCCGTACGCAGATCAGGTGTTTCGGATTAGGGCTGAACTCAGAAAACGGCGAATGGGAGGAGTGTCTGTGGAGAGAGTTTTGAACATTCAAGGTTTGCATTTAAATCTTGATTATTTACAGGGAAATTAATCAAATAATTTTCAACAGGCAAGCAATTCAGAGCAGTTTTTCTAAGCACCGTCAGAACAAGAAGTACCTGCAAGCCTGGAGCAAAAGAAGCCTCTGCTGAAGACATGGATTACGGATTTCTATCAAACTCAAAACTGCTGAACACTGCCATCACCCGAGCACAGAGTTTGGTAGCAGTGGTGGGAGATCCAGTGGCACTTTGTTCGATAGGGCGATGCAGGTTAGCATCCGTGCTCAAATTTTGTAAAAGTATTTTTTTTTTTTTTTGTAACAAACAATTTTTTGTTTGCAGGAAAGTTTGGGAAAAGTTCATCAATGTTTGCCACCAGAATCGGAGCCTGTTTGGCATCACATGGGCTGCTCTGAGAGCTCAACTGGACGGAGTGGAGATGAGAAGCACCTACACCCTAAATCCTTTGGCGCCTGAATTTGTACCTCGGCGCTTGCAGACCGAAAGCTCCGCACCAGCTTCTCAAGCTCCCGCCGCCTTTGCCGGTGCCAACCTCAACTACAACCAGCAAGTTCCGGTGCACCCTCAAAACATCTACCCCCAAATGTTCTTCATGCCTCCGCCAGTCGTCATGCAACACCCAATGATGTACCCACCAAACTGGAAGGCAAGAGCAGTTCCATCTCCTCCACCCAAAGCGCCCCTGATTCGACCGCAACCCACACCGTACTACCCTCCGTATGCCGGCCAACAACCACGAATACCCATGGTTCCGGGCATGCGACCTCCTCAGATTCTGCCACCAGCAATGCCGCCCCAGGCAATGCCGCCTCTGCAACCTCCACCTCCACCCGTTGTGCCCTCGGCCCAGCCTAGAATGTTCCCGGAACGACCGAACAGCCTCAACCACGAGAGTGAGCAACCCAAGCAGATCCAGTTTCTGCACAATGTGCATTTCCCGGAGAGACACCCATCACCTGCCACAAATACAAATAACTGGGACTCCAACGTGACGAACCAGATGGTATTATTTTCACCTTGAAGTTTTAGATTATAAATTTCGTTTTTTTTTTTTCATAGATGGCTGAGAAAAACATTCCACCAAACATGGATCCAAGGAGGGGATATCCACCTTCACCTCAGCAACCTCCCATGAGACCGCAATCCCATCAAGGTATGAGAAAATTTTCCACTAACTTTCAAGGCTCAATTGTTAGGCATGACAGTGCCAGTTCTAATTTTTTCCTCGAACTTGGCTTTACATGGCACTCGTAAGAATTTTTGAAAAATTGTTGGAAGATAATTCAACTTTGTTAACAATTTCATTTTTGTAGGACCACCTCCACAAAACTCAGCTGGACACTCAAGAATCTCACCCTTTCAGAACCTTTTGCCTCCAAATATAACCCTGGAAACGATGTTGAAAAATACTGCTATGCAATATGATTGGCACAAGACTTTGGTTGAAAATTGTGGACCTGACGCTGGTGCAAAGTAAGCAGTTGACAAATTTGTTGGCAAATTATTCGATAATTGAATTTGACTTTCCATTTTTGCTTTCCATACTCATATATTATTTTAAAGATTTGTGGAAATGATTGTGGCTGCGAATAACTACAAGCAGAAAACCACTGCTCCAGTGAAACCGGAGCCAAAGATGGTCCAGTCGCAAATGATGGGTCCACCGGTCATGCAACAACCTCCCCATTACTCTCAGCAGCAAGCCACCTCGCCGCAAATGGTTTCTCCCCAGTCTGCAATGCATCACTCGCTGAATCACCACCACAACCTGCTTCCTCCTCATCAAAGCATGCAGCAGCAGCAACAGCTCTCACCAGGAACGCAGCTGATGCAAAACGAAGTGGTCGAAGACGTTGTGCGCTCCTTGGACAAGTTACTCGCTTCATCGTCGATTGCGGAAAAGGCAAAGTACCTCGGTATGCCTGACCGTATCCCACTCCCGCCTCAGTTCGAACAAAACATGGTCAACCGCCCGTCAATGGCACCACACAAAATGCAACCAGACATCATGAACGGACATTCATCAAACCATGTAACATTTTATCAAACCTAGCAATCTCTTTCCTTACAACTTCTTTGTTCCAGTTTGAGCCGATCAACATTTTCTCCGATGACCTGATACCACTGCCTGCCGATTTCATTAGACGAGAAAATGAGAGGATGCAAGGTTATCCGCAAGCGCACGAAAATCCCTTAACACAAAGCAGGCTTTTTAATCTGCAACATAAAGAGGAGATGCCAGGAAACAGAGCAAAGTAAGAGTCTTCAAATTAAACTTTAAGCATTTATTTAAACAAAATTTATTAAAAAAAATTTCCAACAGCAGCTGGATGAATTCCTCGGCAATGATGCAACAGAACGGACCGCGCCTCTCTAGACTGGAAACGACATACAGCCCGACACCTGAAAGAATTGCCGAAAGGATGTACCGATCTCAAAGTCCGCCTCATCCTGACCACGAGCAACCGACCGGAAACTCTGAAATGATGGAACAGGCGCCGCCACCCACGCTGAGCTACGCCAGTGTGCTGAGGCAGAAACCGCAGCCGACAACTCCAACGATGGGGCTGAACAAGTCGCTTCTGGACGACCCTTTCGCAGTGCTGAGGGAGTTGGGCACCCGCAGCGCCAGCCAGCTGCAGAGCAACAATAATCTACCCTACAGACCTTACAACCACAACTAAAACTTCTTGCGTGTAACCGATTGGGACATTTTGCATTTGTTGAGGAGGATTTTAAACGGTTTTTCAATCAAAAGTAATCAGCATGCAGTTTTCCCCCCTATTACCTATCCAGTACAGGCTTTTGTTTTGAATTTAACAAGCGCCACACCAGCGGCACGTTTCCCATTCCTACTTCATCTGGTTGCAAACTATGCTTGGCTGTCGGCAACCAGTCCCCTGGGGGTTTTCGTCCCGAAGAAGGTTTCCCCCAAAAATATACTCAAATGAAGTTAGCAGATTGAAATGTTCAAAATAAAATACAGAAAAACTAATAAAAATGATAAAATATTGAAAATTTGCATTTCATTTAATACGTCTCCTGATAACTGTAATTGGAAACAGTCAAAATACTCTAAGGTGATTTATTTGCGAGTAAAAAGTAACAAATGGAAAAGTTACTTTTTAATCAATATTAATGCCTGATTTCAATTTTTCACCTTTAACTTATTATTGATCAATTTTTATTCAAAGAATTTTAACTTATTTCCTATTTTACTTGAAATTTATCCCTCTCCGCAGACTTTCGCTATATTTTCCTATTTGCCTTTTTTCTCACTTTCACTTGCGCGCCCTTCGCGGCGCCACCCCTTCGCACTATCTCCGTGCTAGACGATCTTCGGCCTTGCGTGTGACCTCTTTCAAGACGCACCCCTTTCACTAGGCGACACCCCTGGCCTTGCGTTGCTCTCACCGACCTCCAAATCGGTGCCAAGGACGTACGCATTGCGCGTGCCGCTCTAACATGGGCAATTCAGTGACCTCCCCGTCGCCGCCCTTCTTTGAACCCGAGCCTATTTCTGCCCTACGAAACTAGCATGAATCTTGTAGAAAAGTGTTTGACGGATAAAAATCCCGATTTATTAATATACATGAGATTCTCTAGCGCGTTCATAGAAATGGAAAGTGCTGCGAACACCCCTACGCGCGGAAGTGAAACAGGCCGCGCGGCTCAATGGTTGAGCCCAAATTGCAGCGCCAGGGGAGTTCGAACTCCGGCCTGGGTCTAGTTTTTAGCTGCTAAAAATTTATAAGAAAAATTATTGAAAACAATGGCGAGTCATATAATTAATTAATTTGTATTCATATAATCACTTTTTTTCATATATAGAAAAAAAATCATCCTAGTATTTCCGTTTTTTACAGCGAGTTGAAAACACGCAGACAAAAAAAAGACGATTATGAATCAATAAAAATTTTTAATCTTAAAAAAAAGAAAAATTAATGCTGTAAGAAAATGAAAATTATTTTTAATAAATTATACAACAAAATGTCAATTCATAAAAAAGTGCACCGCGATATCTTTTCTTCGCATTACTGTGCAGCAAGTAGCAAGAAGTATAGGATGTGCGGCCGCGGCGGCTTATACGCGGGGAGAAGATATAAAAGGGTTGCCTTGAGCAGCGGCGCGATGTGCCCTTGGCCGCGGCCTAGTTGTTTCGCGGCCAAGGCCACTCCGGGGCCACTCGCAGTACACTCACCTTGAGTTTAAGGTCGCCCCACATCTAGGAGAGGAAAAAGTGAATCAAGGGAAGATGCGTTCTCAATACAGGCGAGCAGCGAGCACGTGGAGTAAAAAAAAAAAGTAAAGCGCGATAAGTGCGGAAGGCTGAATGAGTGGTGATGTTTTTATTTTATTTTACTCATTTCTGATCTATCTAATTATAATTAATATTAATAACATAATGAAATCAGTGAAACAATAACATTTTTAATGTACAAAATTATTTTATTAAAATGATAAATTTAATTAATTTGTAAGAAAAAGCGCCATTTCTATTTAACTTCCGCTATTTTTATAGTTCTGGATGAAAAGCTTCTGGGTTAATTATAAAACAATATAATTCAATTTTAAAATTAAATTATATAATTTGCACTACAATTACTAGCAATTACAGATAATTTTTCTTGTTCAGTTAATTAAATATATTTAGAGTAAGAAGGTGGAAAATTTAAAATGAAAGAATCTTTATGGAGAAAACACGTGGATTCAACTTATTATTCAATAATTTTTTCTTAATTAGCTGCTCCTATTTCTAGTCGTGGATATTAAATTAAAAAAATATTTTAGTTTTTTTAACAAATGTATTTTCTTAAATTAAGAAACTTAATGAATTAAAATATTTTTACAAACAGGCGGAAAAATAATATATTGATAATATCGGTTAAAAGTTAAAAATAGAGAGCGCCGGGCAGTGCCGAGAGCGGATCCATATAGTGAGTGCGTTTGTGCGAAAGAGCGAGCGAGGGTGAACGGCCGGCGCTGGAGATGAGTCTTTGGCCTTGCCCGGCAGCACACAAGGCCAAAAGCTCGCGCCCAAGGTTGACTCTTCGCAAATTTTCAGACTCGGCCTCGCTCCATGAGCGCATGCCAGGCAATAAGGATCATTTTTATAATCTGACCCGAGCGGCTGCGTGGATGCGACTCGGCCGTGTCTGTGTGCACAGCAAGCAGGCAAGCGCCTCTTATTTGCTGACGAACGCACCGCTAACTAGGGAGGCTGCTGCGTTTAGCACAGGAAACGCCGGGTGCGACGGCACAATCAGCAAAATTGGTCCCCCACTCACAGATCTCTCAATCGATCATTAGCAAATTAAGCCTCTCATAATGGAATGAGAACAAAAAATTGGAACTTCCTCGAGAGCGAAGAATTCGTGTAATTTTCTAATTAAGCTAGCAATTTTCTTTACTTTCAAGGTTTCTTTAATAAGCAAGGAAAACACATTCGACTCCAAATAATATGTCAACATGTATTAATGTTACAACACCAACAAGTATAATAACTACAGAACACTGCTAGCCCTGCACCACGTATATGAGAATAAACATTCATATCAAAAGTAGCTTTGTCGGGAACACAGTCAATTTAAGTACATTCATTGTTTTTTTTTTTGCTTTTTTGTGTGTGTGAGTTTAATGTTTGTGTGCATTCGTTCAAGTCGATTCGTTCCATTCAGTTCGTTAAATAATATTATTTTTTTCTCTGTATTTAGTGCACTAGTTTTCGCATAGTTTTCTCTCTCTATGTGGCATTCAGTCGCGTTTCGCATCACTCCCGTAGGAAGAGGCCTTGCTAATCTTGGTCATGCCGATAATTTTGTACAACAGGAAGAAGACTGAAAAAATATAGGTCCATTTTAGATTTATAATCATTTCAGAACACAAAAGATCAAAGATTCCTAGAAATTCAACCACCTTGCCCTTGTTTGATCATTTTTTTTTTTTTTAACATTTTGCACTCACAACTGGCAATGATTGCTGCTCCGATGCTGAATTTGATAGTGGAGCCAGAGGTAAGGAGGTAGGTCAACCAATAGCTCATTGGCACCAAAGTGACCACAAACCAAACGCACCAATTGATTAGAGATGCTTTCCGACGGGGCAGTTTGAACGGTTCGATCCTTTTCAATCCGCTCTCTTTGAAAAAGTCGCCCGTCTTGTAGAAACTGTCTTGCATTTTATCCTAAAAAAAGACAGAATCATTTGCATCACGTTTGCAATTCAAAGTTTCGGCCTTCGAACCTTTCTTTGATAGAGCTCATGGAGCCATTTCGAAGCTGCTTGTTCGTCGTCCGGGACTTCTTCCATAGGAATACGTTGAATGCAAATGTGACCAGTGACGCCCTTGCCGACCAGCAGATTATGCAGATTAGGCTTTACTTTGTCATCCCTAAAATTATAAACAAATAATTTGAATACTTATGATGAACAAAAATACAAAATTCGAAAATTTTAAATTTGTTTTCAAAATTCTAAATATTTCGTATTATATTTCATTGAAATGAGCAGTCGCGTACTTTTTGAAAGCGAGCTGAACGTCGTAAATGGCTCCCATCTTCTCTTTGAGATGGGGGATGCTGCTGGTGAATCCTCTTGTTCGCGGCACCAAGTGGTGCTTGAGCAACGGCAAGCCTCTTTCCTTGGCGAATTTCATGCTGGCTGCATGTTTGTGTTCGCTGAAGCGTGTGCCTTCGGCGTACAGGAGCAGCTGCAGAAAAGATGTCCAATAAGCAGAAACAATGAGAAGGAAGCAAGTACGGCAGGGGAAAATCAAAATGCTGGCAAGTAATCTGTGTGCTAAGTACGTCAAGTCGGTCGGCGCGATTCTCACAAATTTTATTGTCTCCAATTTAATTTTCTAATTTTATTTAGCATCCACAAAGCTCTTAGGCTTTCTTAGGCAGACTGGTTATGTTCAATGCAAATTAAAGTGATAATAATTATCAAAATAAGTAGAAAACTTGTTTCAACTTGTTTATAAAAAAAGGTTTAAAATATCTGCTTGCATTTTAGTCCTATTTAAAGATGAGTTTCACGTGTGGACGCAGAAAAATGGCATGTCAAAAATTCAACTTTCTAAAAATAGCATTTGGTAGTCCAAATTGACATGGTCACGCCTTTGGGGTTATAAAATTCCCAAGTTCAACAAAGTATTTTCAAAAAAACTCAAAAATCGAATTTTTTTATTTTCCAGTTTAAGATAAAATTTGAAAACAATTTTCCTAGCCCAATTTTGCGACGCCTGACAACTTTACAATGGTGACCAAACATGTAGGAACACGTTCATGGTCACTTTCAGTGAAATTTTGACTTTGAGCCTCTCAATTTTCAAAATTAACGCCATTATCAATTTTTTTGACAAAAATTTACCCCATATAACTTAGAATCGACAAGTCAAAATTTCACTGAAATTGGACTTGAATGTGTTCCAACACGTTTGGTCATCATTAAGAAGTTGTGAGGTGTCGCAAAATGGGGATAAGAAACTTTTTTCACATTTTCCTCTCAAACTGGAAATTTAAAAACACGATTTTTTACTTCTATGAAAATATTTTGTAAAAATTCGCAAAATAATTTTTAGCCCCACTTGGGACAACCAAATAATTTTTTTAGAAAGTTAAATTCTATGATGTGCCATTTTTCTACGTCCAGATGTGAAACTGACACTGATAAAGAAAACCCCACTTCTTTATAGCTTTTTTATTAAATCTGAAAAAAATTTGACCAATACTGAATGAAGATAAATAAATTTTTTCCTCTAAAATTTCTATTTATTTTGTAATTTAATTTCAATTGTCAAGTTGATTTGCGTAACTAAAGGTGCGTGCGTGTTTAATCTACATTTTTATTCTAGATTAGGAAAATTATTTTGGTGGTGAGCGGTGATTGCGATAAAAACTGAAGTACTGCGTGTTTGTGTCTGGCGGCAGTCTACGAAATTAATCAAAAAGCGATCAGTGTCGTTATGTTCTTGATGAAGTACAAAAACAATTCTAAATCAGCTTGTCTCCCTGTCAGAGCTGGCTTGTTTGTATCTTTGCAAGGGAATGGACAAAATATCGATTGGCCGCAGTCGGTTCAAGCATGCAAACTGAGAGATTAGAGGGAATTATTAGAGACTCACGTGTTGTTTGTTTAAAGTTTTTTTGAGCGCCATGTGTGTAACTTATATGCAACACGTACATCCACTGACCGGGTTCGAGTTAATAAAAAAACAAGGCAAAAGTTGAAGACATTCGTTTTGATCGGGCAGTCAATTCAAAACGGACTGTCATCTTACCCAGATCGGACTCGGATATTCGACTAATTCTTTCAGTTGCGTGCTGATGATTTGCTTGTCCTTCTCCCAGTTGCGCTCCAGGAAAACGCTCTCCCCGAACTTCCAGGCCCAGCCCATTGTCGGGATGAACTGCAGCACTTTTTTGGCGTAAGTTTTGCAATTCTGAAAATAAAGTTAAAAATTGTTTTATATTTAAAATCTACAAAAACTTCCAAATTAAAATTAGGTGAACTTTAGGTTTGTCAAATTAACTAATTTGCATTGATTGGCAGTGTAGATTTAAAACAAAATTTATATAATTTTATTTTTTAAATAAAATTTAAAAAAAAGCCTCCTTTAGAGAAAAAAGATCGCACTCAATTAAGGCCAAGCGATTCTTTGAATTGGATTTAGCAATTTCATTTTTTTTTAAGCATAATTTTATGCTCAAGGAGGCTATCAAATTGACTGCCTTTGAGTGAATTTGAACTTTGGACACACATGCAGGATGTGAGAACGTGATGGAAGCTTCGCGAAGAAAGCGCGCACGCACCCCTAAAAGTCGGATTCGGTCGCAGAAAACCCAGCCCATCAGCCAGTCAATGTCGTAGGCATGGTTCATGATGAGGTAGCCGTGCTCCTTGCCGTAGTATTTGTCAAAATCGTCGCGGTCGATGTAGATGAGCAGGTCGCACCCGGCCCACCACTCGGCCAAAAACACCAACTCTGCGAAAAAACAAGAAAAACGCCACAGGTTTTTTTTTATTTAGAGTCTAAGACGAAATTTATTTGAATCTGAAATCGGATGAGCACTTACGACTGTAGAGCGAATAGGCCAAGTAATAATTGAGCCGGCGGTACAGCTTTTTGTCGAAGGTGCGAACCCCGATCCAGAGGACGAGTTGACAGAAATTGATGAGCAGACCGGACACGAAGTACGTGATGGCCATCAGCAGGGCGACCAGCGGCGACCGCTTCACGCTTTCGACCCACCCTGCCATGATTTGCGGCGATTTTACTCTGGGTCCAGCGCAATTTTCCGACTAGTCATCGCCGCCGAGCACACCGAATGCAGCGGAGAACACCATTTAGGGGCGTGTCCAGTGCGCAGCTCAGCAAGCAGTGTCTTGTTCGGTTGGTCTTACCCCTCCTCCCTCGCGAATTTTCTGCAACTAATGCAAAATTCATCCAGTTTCCGCAAGTTGGCTAAAAGAAATAATTAATATCAAAAATTAATAAACACTGCAAGATAATAAAAGCGTTACATATTATTAATAAATTACATTTTTAACCAAAACTGCGAGACAACTTTTTTTGCACACTTTCTGAGAAAATAATTCCCTGAGTTTTGGAATTTCGCAGCAGAAATTAAAACTCAATTACGAATTAATATTTTCAATCAAATTTTAATCTAGTTGCAAGTTTTAAACGAATTTGGCCAAACCACCCCTAGGGGAGTGTCGGTCAGGTTGGCACCCCTTGGCGCCAGCTGTACTTGACACCCCGGAGTGGAAGGTTCTCCGTTTCGAATCGAACGAAATCGAAAGGTGTCTTGGTTGCTCTTGTTCGCGCGGACGCCTTCCGGTCAGGCGGGCCCTTTTCTCCTCGGCGATAAGCGCCGCCCGCTGATAAGGACGCGAGCGCGGCCGTGCGCTCGAGCCGAGTGCGCAGCAGGCAGGTGACGTGTGTGTGTGTCTGACGTAGGCGTGCCACGATGGCCGAGGCCGGTGTAAACACGAAGCAGGTCCGCCCTTGCGAGGCCCACGAGAGCGCCCTTTTCTCATTTCTCTCTTTGCAGAAGATGCCCCTGGCCGAGGTCGAGTTCAACGCGGCGCGGGTCATCTCGCGGCTCGAGGAGGCCGTGCAGATGGAGGAGGGCGGCCACTCTTGGAAAGTGTCCCACGGACTGCTGCCCTTGCCAAGTCGCTCCAAAGACGAAGTCATGACGCAGCTCGAGGCGAGTTGGCACTTTATTTTATTTAAGCCTCGATGTTTCTATTCTAACTCGTCACTTTTTTTCTAAAGGATCTCTTGCTGCATGAGGAGGGTGAAGGGGTGCGAGCTCGGCTGCCGCAGTTGGACGCGCCAGGGGAGGTGGCCATCACCTCGCACAGCGTCGCCGCGTACGCCAGCAGCCTGGACAGGCCGCACTTGCAGCGACTCGCGACCAGGATCGCGTCCGACTCCACCCGATGGCTTAGTCACATGTTTAGGTAGTTTGCCGAATTTTCCTGCTAAATCTGCAGTGCAGGAAGTGGAAGGGGAATAATCAATAATTAATCTCTTTTTCGCTGGGGGATTTGCCCATTTTATTATTCCTGCTCTTAGATTGTTTAAAACTTAAAAAACAGTTCGTGCCGGCAACAGTAAATAAAAATAACTGTTATCTGTGTTTTTAAACTGATAGTGCAATGAAAATGCCAGTGTAAAATTCCACAATCTAATTTGTATGTTCAATTTTTTGCTAGTTTTATATTTAATTCATTTAATTATTATTAATTTCTTTTTAAAAATATTTAATATCAATGAGGTGAAACTAAAAACGGAACTCGCTACTTATTTACTTTATATAAATATAAATTTAAATAAATTTTTTATTAATTTTCTTTTGTCATCATCACCTAAAATACGGGGAAATATAAATAGTACCCTAAAATTTGTTTTATTCACCTATATTTGAGAAAATGTTCATTATTATCATTATTTTTTATTTTAACTTCATAATTTCCTTATAAACCTTATTTTGAATAATCTTGATTTAATCTATTTTAATTTAAATTCTGAAGATTAATTTACACCTGATTGACACATCGGAATTTATCAAAAACAATCATTCGCAGGTTCTTGGAGTGCAACGCATTTTACAATGACGACCTGCTGGAGGGTCTGGTGCGCATCACCCGCATGCTGCTGCACTACAAGTACCCTGAATACCTGGAGCAGGGTTACGACGCCCTGCAGACGAACCCGCCCGTCATTTACACAAGCATGGCCTCGCCCTTGGGCCTGGTGCAGCACCTGTGCCGTCAGGTGGGTCTGCCGCTCATGTGCGTGCGGCCGGTGCCGTGCAACACGGTCTTCGGATCGCACCAAAAGATGGACGTGGCCGCCCTCGAACGGGCCATCGAGGACGACAAACTGGTGGACAAGGTGCCTCTGCTGGTGCTGGCCGACGCGGGCACCACCATCGCTGGACACGTGGACAACGTGACCAGAATGCAGGAGGTGTGTCGCAAACACGACGTCTGGCTGCACCTCAGAGGCCACGGTTTGGCCGCCCTGGCCATGGCCTCTTCGCCGACGGTCCCTTCTCGCATCGCTGACAGCATGACCCTGCCCCTCGGGGTGTGGTTCGGAGTGCCAGCTTTGCCCATTGTTGTATCCTTTGCCAAATTATGATTAATGTGCATTTTTTTTTTTTAAGAATTAATGTTGATAGAATTAATTTGCAAAAATAACTTTTTTTTTTAATTTTTGTTACATTTTACTATGAAAATTGTTGAATAATTTCTTGAAATTTTTTCCTTGACAATTAAACCAGACTTTGTTCCGCACCATTGAAGCACAAGAACCTGCTCCTCCGGGAGTCAGAACCCGTGAGAGCACCCTTGCCTTTCTTGCCGGCCTCTCAGCGGAGCACAACATGCTGAAACTACCGAGTCTTTGTTTGTGGACCTCACTTCAGGCTCTCGGCCGTGAGGGAATCCTGCACAGACTTCGCAGTGCGTTCGAGGCAAGCGAAATTCTCCACAGCAAACTCGCAAAATATCCCAGGCTCCGTCTTTTGGTAAAAATAGAATTAACAAAGTAAAGAAATGAAATAACTAATTTTTTTCAACTGCAGAATCAAAGACCAGGTGGTGAAGCTGGTAGCATTTCCATTACGGAACTGGTCAAGAAGCCAATCAGCACAACTGTAGGTTTCAATATTTACAGAATTTGATTATTTATGCTAATTTTTTTTAAATAAATTTTAGGTGCTTTTTGAAGTCACTTCCTCTACAGTTGTTTTCCAATTTGTTCCTGAGAACCATAACAATGATGAACGAGTTCCTGACTATTACGACAAATTGAACTCTTGGGTACGTCGATCTTTACAATATCATTAGTTGACTAATTTTTATTTTAAAAGCTGGGACAAATTTTGCAACGGGACGTCCCAGAAGTCCCTCTAGAAATCTGTGAGCTAGAACTGAGTGGCATCATTTTGCGTTTCTGTCCTTTGGAATTGTCTCCTGAACGTCTGCCTTCCCACGCCCAAATTGATAAGTTTGCAACCTCGATGGAGCAGCAACTGGTATTTTAACAGAATAAATACCTTTTAAAATTTCTGACATGGCTTTTTAGGAAATTCTGGAGGCAACGGTGCACCATAAAGAAATCTTTGTCAAGTTGGCCACGAAGTGTCCCCATCTCCGTCTTGTCAATATGCCTCAATGGGCTGGTTTGGGTGGAGTGAGGTTCGTCCCCGACGAAGAGGAGCCAGATGATATGACCGATCAACGCAAAAACGAGCTCAATCATCTTAACCAACGACTTGTTGACACGCTGCGTAGCACAGATGCTGCGTTTTCCATGGGTAAGCCTGTTTTTATTTTTGGGAATTTGTACCCCATACTGATTGAATTGCAGGTCACTTAATCATTCACCAAGGTATTTTACAGATAAAAACAAAAATTTCAAATTTAAATGAGTTTTAATATTTTTTAAGAGATCAATTTGAACTAAAATTTGTATTTTTTTTTTCATTTGCAGGCGAAGGTGAAAATGGTTTAATTTGCGTTCGTTTTGGCATGGTCACTGCCGACACTGACGTCGAAGAGCTGCTCAATTTAGTTGTGACCACGGGAAAGGAAGTCGAAGAGTCATCTCGCTTCCTCGAATCTCTCACTGAGATTGTCAAGAAAGGTAAAAATTTAAATTTGACCAAACTTGCTTTTGACTAAAGCTTAAAAAAATGATTTAGGTATTGAAACCGCAACTCAGGACCTCCAGAAGGAAAACGCCGAGCGCGTCTGGCAGGAAGGCATTTTGCGCCAAATGCCAGTAGTTGGATCTCTTGTCAACTGGTGGTCTCCGCTTGGCAAGGAGACCGGAATCAAAGGCCGCAGCCTCAACTTAACTGCAGGTAGCAGGATCGAGGTTTTTTCCGTTTCCCTTATTAAAACCTTCTTTGCCTCAGGTGTTGTCGAGAGCACAGAAAATATTTATCGCTACCACATGCAGCTGCAAGGGGTTTCCCCTCCAGGAACCAAGGGCCCACCCACGCCCTTGGTGCAAACCCCGATCGCACCACCCTCTTCTCAGCACTCTAGGTCTTCGTCCCACAGTTCTAACAAGGAGCCCCAGGCAGCAGAACAATAATATTGTGGATTTCGCGAGTTGTTTAATAATTATCCTTTTGTCTTTACAATACGTATATATTTATTGTGAAACGTCTTGATTTTGTTGTGATTTTACTTGTAGTGATGTCAAAATTGAATTCATGGACCTAAGACTGTACGAGCACAAGCACCTATTTACCAAAGATGCCTCGATTGTGTACTCTTGGTTGCAATAAAAGAGCAAAACCAAATTTCAAAACTTCCGAAACTGGTTTTTTTTCTACAAAGAATAACAAGAGTGACATTTTTTTGCTGTTTATTTCAACAATTAAATTATCTTGAAAACGGCTAAAATTCGCATTTATGTCGATAAATTCTAACAACATCACGTCGAAACATCGAAAAATAAAGAAAAGGAGACATGAACTCATGTATAGAACAATTATTATTATAATAATTTTCTTTGGATTCGTAAAAAATAAACACTGTAAATAACAAATAATGTAGACGGAAAAAATGCAACATGAGGTCTGGCACAGGCACAACTAAATGCTCGATAGTCTTGTGCAACACAATGGACTGAACAGAGGAAAGGGGTGAAGCCTTACGAGGGTTGACGACAGGGCAAAAACAAAGTACCAGGGAAACGAGCGAGCAGGAGGTGAGAAAGAAGGCGGGGAGCAGAATAAAAGTGCGGAGAGGGTTAAGAGAACAAACGTGTTTGTTTATTATGATTGGTAAATACAAGCGTGGAATGCTATCCTAAACCTACGTCGGCCCCTTTTGAGAGGGCCCTAAATATAAACACCGAGACGTTAGAAAAGAGCGGCAGTGTATCTACATACTTACACCTACATTGTTTCATCTCTCATTCATAATATTAGGATTCAGTCTGTCTGTACACCACACTAACAAGTCCGTTTTTTCATTTTGTCATAATTTATAAAAACACGGCCTCAGAATATATATAATAAAGACATTATACAAATTATAAACTGTGAGCACGCCGCATTGTTGTGTGTGTGTTGTCGTCTTCTTCTTATTCTTCGTGTGAAGTGGTTTTATTGGTTCTTCCAGTTTTACAGCTCACTGATCATATACTGAGGCCGTTCAGGCTCTCAGTAGAAGTCCGCCGACTCCAACGTCTTGCACTGCTTGCTCAGAGTCGCGTACTGCCCATTGTTGGGTCCAAGCATTGTGGTAAATCGGTCAGAGTGGTGAGAGGAGTCACCGGACTTTTCCTCGCGTGCGTGCCGCCCATTTCTGTAGAGAAAAGAGAACATTAACATCGGAACAACCACCTCGCAACAACATTCAAATTGGGCCAAATTAACCGACAGGGACACGCGGGGGAAATAATTGCTCGTTTCTCTCGAAATCTCATTATTTCGGTCGTTTCGACACAACAAGGGACTTTTTCGGGACAAAAAAGGCCTCGCCAGGGGAAGGGACATGCCGATGATGTCACTAAACCTATGTTCAGGCATGCGACACTGACACGTTCAATATATCACGAGACACACTGTTCATTCTCGGCACTTACCAAGCGGCATCTCGTCATGCTCACCATGCTGAAATGTTCAATTTAAAGAGGCGCTAGGCCCGTTTGTTGGAAATAAAAGTTCAATTTTAATTAAAAGTAAAAATTCTGCCTGCTTTAAGCGGAACAGACTAAAATCAAGATTATTCATTGCCATTCAGCCGGAAGCAGCATTTCTCCATTTCAATCAGCAAAAGCATTCACTAATTGTCAGGCATTTTGATTTCAGTCTATTTCACTAGGCTCAGGCAGGATCCAATCGCAAATCAGTGGGACGAATTAAAGAAAAATTTCATTTCACATTTATAAAAACAACAGAATTTAAAAATATGAAAGTGCCAGAAAGTGGTGGACGAAATCATCAAAATTCAAAAAGTCCCACCGAGTCTGCGTACGAAAATTAATTTAACTAAATCGAAATTAAAGCTAAAGGCCCCGGGCGCCAGAGCTGAAGCAGGCAACCCGGGGGCAGAGGTCATGCATTACAACGTACAGCGTTCCAGGGTAAGGCGGCGTGGGTGGGGGAGTGTGCGTGCGGGAGTGGCGAGGTCTGAAGTAGCCAGTGCTGCTATACGACCCTTGACTGCGGCGCCCAAGCGAAGACATGGCGGCCGGGTGGTGTGGCTGGTGGAGCGGGCCACCCGGGCCACCAGCCAAGAAGGGGTCCTGCTCGTCCACTTGCAGGTAGTCGGGCCTGCAACAAAACCCGGCCGAGTAAATACCAACCTGACGGAGGGGTAATTGCAGGGGAATCAAACCTCTTGCGGATGTATATCCAGGCGTGCGAGTCGATCCACACCAGAAGGGTGAACAGAATCCCGGCGCAGGCCGCTGAGGCCAGCATGAATAGCAAACCCATTCTGTAAGAGAAAAAAATTAATTTTCATTTAATTTTCAATCCAATTTTGATCAAAACGTACAATCCTAAATCGCAGATCCCGTGAATTGCTCCTTGGTAGTTCCGATTGATGCCCTGGCACGACAATTGCTGCTCCAACTTGTTGAAGATGTGCTTGGTCAGGTTGACGGTCCAGACTAGTTCGTCGGTGCGCACGTTGTATGGCAGATTCAAGACCAGATTATTGATTTGCGTCAGGCCGGAGACGAGCGCCTCGGAGGCGCGCAGGCCGCTCTGCAGACGAGGGTACAGAGGGTTGGTGGCCGTGCGGTCGCACTGGATGTAGTAATGGGCCATTTCGCGCTGAATGGACGGGCCTTGGCCCGAGAGCACCTTTTCGACAAATGGATCCGGCGCCACACAAAAGTCGCCGAGAGCCTGAAATTTTAATACAAGATAAGCCGGGTTTGAAAATTAGGGGCCAAGCGACTTACAATGGAACCGGCCAGGTACACCGCAGACAGGGCGTAGGTGGTGATGACCGCGAAGAGACCAAATACGGAGAACCTGCAAATTTATGGGTTCGAGGTGAATTTCTTAGAAATGTAAAAATTTGAACAGAATAGTTTTTGAATTGTTAGTTTTTATAAAAATTCAATTTAGCACTTAATATTTTAATTATTCGCTATTTTATAAAATTTGAAAATTTTCAAATTCTTTATAATGGAGCACAAAATAAAATATAAAATACTATTGAATTTTTTTATTATTGTATTTTCAAAGTGTATAAATAAAGCGAAAAATAAATTATGAAAAATTCTATAGAATATTTTAAATGAATTTTTTTGCTGTTTCTTTTTTTTTCAAATTTTATAAAATAGAGCGAATAAATAAAATTTATTGAACGTTGAAAATTTCTATGCTCGTTTAATGAAACAAAACGAGCAAATCGTATAAAATGCCGCCAGGCTAATTGCGGACACGAGATTATAATTGTCAATGCGGTCGGAGCAAAAACCGCACGCAGCGATGTGGCTCGTTTTATCGGCGTCGAAACGGCGCTTGCCGACCAGGCGCAATTTAATATTCTCGGTCGCTTGATTGGACTGACGCGATGACAGATTGTAAACAGAAAATAATTCCGATCCTAGAGCAGCGGCGCGATCTTTATTAAAAGGCGGCGACGGAAAAGGAGCGCCGGAAGCAGCGAGGAAGTTTCGGGAGTGAATAATAATCACCCACCTTTGCATCGACTCTGTCCATGTACAAAAAAAATACATACACAACAGGAGACTCTGAGAGAGACCGTCACCGATCGTAACCAAACAAAGTCAAAAGCATGACGTAATTCTCAAAAGAGGAGGAGGAGAAGGTCTTATAGGAGGATTAAAGTGAATTATTTGTGTAACCCAGCCGGGCTAATGCACGCCTATCAGTCGAGAACACGATCCTCGGCGGCAGGCGGGCCCCAGTCTCCATTCAGCACGCTGACCCACGTAAATCCGCGATTTTTTTGTCAACGAGGGCACGGAATTTCGCACAAACTATTTGCAAGGCAAGAAAGATATGAACTACTTTGAGATTGCGACTGAAATTCAGAGAATTATTTGTTTTAGTTGATATGAATTTAAAATTGGCATTTCCTTGATGGGTTTTGAGAGTTGTTTATTGTTTAAGAAGAAGAAAACAATATCCTGATCTACATTTTTTTGGCTGCAGGCATAATTCATGAGCTTTGAAATAGTTTTGACACGAATTAGTACAAAAATCATTCTTACAAAAAAAAAAAAAATCTTTCAATTCAACAATTTTTGTGGAAAATTATTTAAAGTTACAATTTTACACAAAATACCCATCGAGGAAAAGCCGATTTTAAATTCAAATCACCAAACTCTACCAAAATACTAATTTTTAAATTAAATTTTAGCAGAATGTGCGATTCTAAATTTAGAGCAAATAAAGAGAGCCAATTAGGCTAGCATCTCCAGCTCAGCATTAATATTTTAATTAAGATGGAAGTTAATTAGAGTGGCAAAGCATCCGCGAAATTGATGAGTCAGTCTGCCCGCGTCAATCAATCCTCATATAACAACGATTGGCACGATGGAAGAGAGACTCTCCTCTCCTTGTCTCTCTCTCTTCTTTTTTGCAACTCGAGAGCGATTGCATCATGTTCTCTTTCTCTCCGTGTTTTATGGCTCGAGAGAGAGAGAGAGAGAGGAAGCAAAGCAAGCTGTGGGTGTGCGATAAGAAAATTTGCAAGCACTGGTACAACAATCCGTCCGCGTCTGAGTCACGCGCAAGACAAACAGCGAGAATGCGCCCAACGAGGCCGATATATAGTTTTTGCACTTCTCGCTTCCTCCATTACATTTGACGCGGGCAATTGGCATTTAGTGCGTAGTTGATTTATTTTTTCGGTCACGCGAGGTCCGCGAACGATTTATTAATAACGAATGCGCGATGACGAAAGTACTCACGCAATGAGAGCTCCTCTGGCGTGGCGCACAACTCCGAAGAGGAGGATGAAGCAGAAAACTAGCAGCAGGCTCAATACTGCCATTGTCACAGGCCACCTATAAAACAAAATCAATGCTTAAAAAATTAATTGGCAGCTCAATTAATAAGGAAAATTGTATTAATTAAACTGGACAATCTATTTTGTTTGAAGAAATTGACACTCGAGGAGATGAAGAGATCGGGCTTTTCCTTGTTGCAAAAATTGTTTTTATTCAAAAACAAAATAGTTCAATTATTTTTTATTTCTACAAAAAGGAAAGTCTCTTCATTTCCATGGACAATCTATATTTTAATCTTAAAGTTCAAGTTTGTGAGTAAAAAATTAATTTGGTGCCATGCACTTGATCAAATTTAAAGCGACGACTTTCCTTGTCATAAATATTTGAGATAAGTGCCAAGTGTTTGGACAGAAAATCGCGCCTGTCTGCGCGCAGAGTCAAAGGGCAGCAAAATCAATTACTCGGCAAAGTGCCTGGTTACGTGACTGGGAAGCCGATTAATTGGCGCGGAGGAGAGGAAGTGGCGATTCTTTCTTGCCATACGCAAGATTGATTGACCGTACCTGATGATTTCGGCCATGTGAAGCACGTCGATGAAGGAGGTGAGGATGGCGCCCTTCAGCGGGCCCACCAGGCTCTTTGTGCTGCGAACGGCCAACGAGGTGTTGCTGATCATGCCGCTGATCACCGTCACCAGTTGGTTCTTGACGTCGTCGCCACCGGGGCTGCTCTCGATGCGGCTCTGCAGGTTCTTCAGGATCGACTGCACCTGCCGGTTGAGAGTTTGTTCCGCCACGACCGTCTGCGAATCAAAAACCAAATTGATTTGTTAACTTAGAATTGTTTCATCATAAATTTAAAAAAATCCACTTACAGCTCAATTTAGAAAAAATAATAAAATATTTAAATCAGTAACTTTCGACTTCAAGTTACTTAATCAATCATTTCCCATTTCGAGTGGTTTGTTTGGATTTTAAATGCTAATAAAATGTTATTTTCTAGTTTAGAGATGCATAGAAAATGCAATTAAACTCCTTTAAACAAATCTCAATTTCTGCAACCTCAACCAATAGTTCATAATCGTTTTTTCTTTCCTTTTTAAGTTATTTGCTTGGTTTTTCACCATTGCGTGGACCATGAATTAAAAATATGCCAAGAAAAATGATTATTTTTTAATAAAATTAATTATTAAAGAAAATTAAAAATAATAAATAAATAAAATTGGGTAACTAATGAATGGCACAGGCCGAAAAAACTTTGTCTTAGTGGCCTGAACTTAAATGTTCTAAAGACTAAACTGTTAAAATTCTTGTTTACAACAAAACTGAATTGAATTAAGCTGCAAACTCACCTCATTGCGGGCTGACAGGAACACTTCATTGATGCTGGCAACTGAGGCCATCACCTGCACCAGTCCATTGTGGACATCGTCGTTTCCATAAAGGCCCACAGCCACGGAACCGCTGAAAGAAAAATCCAATATTTAAAAAAAAAAAGATGAATTGAACATAAAAATGAAACCATGAACATTATTCAAATCACGAAATCGAATTTAACACATTTTTTCAGTAATTTATAATAATGAAGTGGAATAAAATTTTTGTTAATGAGATTAAAACGAAAAATTTTAACTCGGCTACTTAAATTGTGGTTTTTCTTAATTAGCACCTTTTTCAACAAAACAAAAAGGCTTTCACTCTTTTGGTACCGAATTCCAACAGCTTTTCAAGTATGCAAATTACACACATTAAAAACTCTTGCGCCGCACGTAACAAAGGACGCGGCTAATGAGCAGAACGACCCTCTAAAATTTTAATCGTGTGCGCCGCGCATGATAAAAATTGGCCCGAAACCGCGCGGGGCGCACAACAACCCTCGAGTCGCGCACCCCGCATGCTTTGTCTCTCCCTCGGGGGCGAATTCTGCGTGCAAATCCAATTCCGCTCCGCCTGCGGGGCCACTCTCTCGTTGAAAAAATTCCGATTAATGACTGTCGCAATTTGCTCGCGTTCCCATGGCCGATGAACTCACCAGCAGACGACCGCGAGCAGGCCCAATATCCATTTCCAGGGGGTGATGCTGCGCTTTCGACGGGGGTTGCGATCGCAGCACCGCGTGAGCAAGTAGACGAGCAGGATGAACAGCGTCAGGATGAGCCATAGCGCGGGCACGGCAGCGTACAGCCCCAACGCCTGCAACAAACAAACACATTTATTATAATTAACGTTTGGAAGGATATCTCGTGGGCGCGTTCGGTGCCGAGAATGGGCATTTGTTTCACGCCGATTGTTTCCACGGGGCCGGCGCGAGGTCCACAATTTTCGTAATGGGTTTCGGTGGGCGATTGTGTAGTTGATTTTGAACGGGTTAAGTCTAATGGGCGTTTACACGAAAATGCCCGAGTTCCGATTGATACTTTAGATGTTGGGTGTTTTGGTATTCATTTCATTTGATTTATTTCGATGCCTCCTATAGTCACCATTGACTAGTCTAAATAAATAAAAAATTCTTTGTAATTTGATGGGATTAGTAAACGAATTTGATTAAAACGAATAACTCCTGTCACTTTTATAAATAAAAACTGATGAAAAACACAAAAGTACAAAGAGAAAGTGGTGGATTGGATATTATGAAAAATTGAAACCAGGTTTGTCGTTGCAAATTTCTGGGAAAGGCACTGACTCAGTTGCTTCATTAATTTCTGCATTTCTTTTTATTCAATAAAAAAATAAAATTATCTTAATTTTTTAATAATTTATTTTATTAAATTCTCCAAATTTTATTTTTTTTTAATCCCTCCCACTTAAATTTAGAGGGGACTTAACAAAGCCCTAAATTTTAAAGTACCAGCAGAATGCAGGTTGCCTTTTGAGGTCAGTTGTCCTTTTATTATTTCATTTTTCTGTAGCAACAAGTGACCCGGTTTTAATTTTTCATAAAAAAAAAAACGTTTCAAAGTCACATTTTTCTGTTCTTTTTCTTATTTTTTTACCAATTCATTAATCAACTCCGCATTTATAGTATTATCGAATCATTTTCAAAAATAGTTTCAAAGCTTTTAAATGCTGGGATTATTTAATTTTAATAAAAACAAAACTTTTATCATGTATTTTAATATCGACGTTTACTTTATTATCAGTATTCTTTACAAATTCTAAAAGATACGCCGCAAATTGTTTTATTGTGACTAATTGGTCACTTGCCACGTCTCCTATCGTTTTTTGGCCTGCTGACAAATCACCTCTCTCACGAGCCGCAACTCGTGACTCGCGGGTCGGTCGGTCGGTCACCGCAGATTGCAGTGCCAAGATTGCGCGACACTGACGCGACCTTGGCCGTCCGTCGCAAGGGGGTGCGAATCTCGCCTCGCCTTTGCAGAGGAAATTAGCAATGAAACGGCAATCAAGGCTGCGAGAGCAATTTGGTCCGCACGCAGCCTCTCTTGCATTAAGAACCTCATCCTTGCTAGGGCACTCTCGAGCACTAATTATGCGGGCGAGTTCAAGTTCCTTTTGCACCCGCGCGGACCGTGTGTTTGACTTTTTACAACTCATCAGCGCAGGGGTGAGGATCAGGCATGTGGCTTCTGATAATGGCGACGAAACACGACACACATGCATGCACACCCGAGGGGTGAGCCCGAGCGTAAAAAGAGAGAGAAAGAGAGGCGGCGGCGTTGCCGGGACACATTTTTATTTTTTTTTTCATATCTACGGAGCGGTGTTTCTCACGCCGGAGACAATATCGTGCATGTTGTACGCGCGGCATAATCGGATCGGCTAATGGGACGCAAGAGTGAGCACCAAACGGACCCTCCTCGAGGAGCTCCCACGAGAGACAGACCCACCGACCGCCGAGCAAATAAAGCATAATGGAGATGGTGTCGTCGGGGGATTGATTATTAAACATGCATGTGGTGCCAGCGACACAAAAATTAAGTCTCTATAGAAGCCGAGGAGGACCTTTTCGGATGAAGACGTTTACAGTGAGAGCGGTCGTGATTTACGGCGTGTTTGGAGATCACCATGGCTACTGGTCAAACCACCACGCACTATTCAGATAAAGCGCCGAGTGCAGCATTTCTGGCGCCTGCGACCAAATTGATTTTCATCAAGCAGAAAAACGTTGTCCATTTTTCACTCGCCATGTGGTCTGTTTCGTTTCCAATCTTGTTTACACAAAATTTAATGAAAAAAAAATTCTTTCATTCGATCAATGCGTTTTGTGGGACAGGAATTCGCTTTGAGGAATAAATACACTGGCTGACCGGTGAATAACCTGAATAGCCGGCTGTTGATTGGAATGCTCGCCCTTTGACCTTTGTCGGCGCGTGCATTGGAATTTCGCAAAAGAATGCACGCAGCTGCTTTTTTGCATTTCGATAATAAACCAGTCTTCAACAATACAATTGTACAGTAATATTTAGTTAACTTGCAATTAGTATTTCTCCAACATTTTTTTATTTAATTTGATCCCATGATAAAATGACAATTACTTCAACAAATTATTAATAATTGAGATTGGATTGTTACTGACTACCATTCAAAACTACGATATATCCTATACAATTCAAGTTATTTTGACTCCAAGAACCATAATTTATTGATTATTCTGATTATTACAATTTTTGATCCATAAAATATGCCTTGGAAAAGCACGTTTTTCATTGTTTAATCTTTATTTTCTCTAAATAAAAAAAAAATAAATAAAAAAAAAACGACAAATATGGCCAATTTAAAAATGTCATAATAGCCGACGGAAAATTTCACCGCTTGAATTATTTTTATACCACTAAAAAAATCGGAAGCGGCTATCATTGTCAAATTTTGACTTATATAAAAAAAAGAACCAATAAGTGACATTTCCCTTAAGCCTACGACTTTTATGTCAACAGCAAAGTTGATCAGCGTAAAAAGTTACGCAAGGAACTGTTTAGATCATTTTTCTAACCCAAACCGTTCCAAAGTTGTGCAAAATAAAAATAAAATCTCGGGTCATTTTTCACGCTACAAATAGGTAACGCCCCATTTTTGATGTATCAAAATTGATACGGAGGACTTTGACATTTGTGTTAAAATAAGATACGGTATTTTTTTTTAAATTCAAATCACCATCTCTCAATATCACTTTGAAAGTCATGTTCCATTTTTTTTAATTAATTAATTTAATGGTAGAAATGAAGAGATCCGGCTTTTCCTCATTGCAAAAATTTTTGGTACTTGAAATAGTTAGTTTTAATTTTTATGTTAAAACGTGGTGTGTTTTTTCTATCAATTTTTGCTGATTTTTTGTATTTTTCTTGCCAACAAGGAAAAGCCTGATCTCTTCATTTCCATGATCATCTCCTTGAGTGTCAGTTTCTTCTAACTCTTGATTAAAATCTGAAAGAGGAAACCAGATTTTTGTCGACTAGAAACACAAGCATTTATAACTTGTCAACTTTGTTCAAGCTCAAATAATAGAAAACAATCTCATCACGATTCATAAAAAAACTTTTCGCTCTGTATATTCCCAGCTGTGCACTCTTTCAAAAGCGTGACTACTTTGCCAAAAGTTTCATTTTCGCAACTTTCCGGTGCGAGAGAGTGCGAGTTTTTCAAGTGGGCGCATCTTGAGCTGGTGGAAAAAAAGTACAAGAGCTTCTCGAGTTGCGTGAATTATTTATGAAAGAGGAAAAAACAGTATAAAAGAGAAGCGCTCCATTTACACCAAAAACCTAGAAGATAAAAATCGAAGGCGCAAAAGGCAGTTAAAAGTTGGGGAAAAAGGACAGGAAGTGTGTTGGAGAAACAAATATCAAATTCGAGCCGCTGCACTACTTTCTATTTTTAAAACGAGGCGCTCCGTCAGCCCCTCTTGGGCTAAGCAACCCTTCGCTGAGCCGGCGCGATTTATGGCGGCCGGCGAGCTATGGACGGTGTTTTCCGCCACTATTTCACCAACGGATAGCGCGCGGGTTTTGTGCCAAATCTCGGAAATTTAATGCCTGCTCTGAATCACACGAGATTTCGGCCGCGGGTGCAAAAGTTATACCTGAAAAGGGCCAACAACAATTTCATAGATTTAGGCGCGGACCGCAGACTTGTGCAGCGCCAAAAAAAATTACATCAGAGAGATGCTTTTTCCTGTAAACATAAAAAATGTCGATCCGCTGCTCATGAGTAACGGCAAAGGAAAAAGGAAGAGACTTGACCATAATTATGACCGCCAATGGTGAAATTGTCATTTACGTTTTGTACAAGGAAAAAAACAATTTTGAGGAAAATGGTTTAAAAATTTATTTGTAACAAACATGTAAATTATTTATTTTAAAATTAAAATTTTTATATCAGGTTTAAAAAAACATTGAATTTTTTTTGTCAGTTCCAAGAACATTGAGAGAGATTGAATTTATTATTATTTTTGTAATATTGACATTCAACGTCATTGTGATGCAAGAAAATTTTTGTAAATAAAAAACTGGTGCTAAAATTATGGAGCGATTCACCAAACTTATGAATATTGAGATCTGCAAACAACGATTTTTGTCCACGAGTGCGGTACTGATAAAATTTAATTGGTTTTTGGGACCCCTCGGTGGCAGGAGACTTGATTAGACCGGCCATTCGAGCAAAAAGCGCAGAGAATTTGCATTGCAAATTGCTTGAGTGCGAATCGGCTTTCAAAATAAATCATTTGCTCCCCAGGAGCAGAAATGCTGAACACGTGTTACGATTCACGACACTGTGTATGCAAAAACACACCATGAAGTGTAAACAGATCCGCGACAAGAGCCACGAGTGGAATTAGCATCTGACAGCCACGTGGGGGAGCACGAGCTGCACTATCTGTGCTATTTTTTTTATTTTTTTACAAATCCAACTTGATGCGGTCGTTTTTGTGCAATCTCGAGTTGGCTCTTTGTCAGCTGCACCGGCTTTTTGTCTCATGATCTCGCGCATCCCAGCGATGATTGAAAATGACAAAAAGCAACCGGCGGCTTTTGTGTTGTGAGCAAGAAGAAGACTCTCGCCGGGGTCACTCGATTCGCTTCTTCTCGCCACAAAAGCTCCGACACACAATTTGACTTGCATGCAGAAAAGGCGCAGTGAAATTGCTACATCGGAACTAACTTTATTGCTTACAAAAAGGGTACAAAATTGCAGGTAAAACTCAAATATTGTTGTAAAAAAATTTGCAACATGAAAATCTAATATGAAAACTTGCCTGAAGCAGTAGATAATTGTAACAAATTCCGTTTCTAAATAATCTTGTAGCAATTTTTAAGATTTTTCCGTAATGAGGTTTGTATAAGAAATAATTTTTTAAACTTTTTTTTTAAATTTCTACCCGGGATTTTCAACAAGACTAAAATGAAACAACTTAAAGAGGCTGAAAACAAAGATTATACAAAAAAAAGGAACTGTCTTACAATTTTATTTGGGAAATTAGTTTCCATAAAACCTCCAAAATCATGAGTTTTGCTCAAAAATTGATTCCTTCATTGGAAATAAATTTTATTTTTGACTCATGAAATTTGACACTCCAGGAGACGATCATGGAAGAAAACGAGCTTTTTCCTCGTTGAAATAGATTTAGATAAAATGGAAGTTTGCAGTTTTTCTGTTATTATTATTTTTTATTTACTCTTGCTAATGAAATATGGTCAAAGACCGTCAACAAAACTGGTGGAGCTTTTTTTAAAACAATTTTTCAACGAGCCCGTTTTCTTCAATTCCAAAAATTCATTTCTTAAGTATCTTTGAAAGTGGCCAAATTATTAAGCTTATATGAGAAATTTCATTTGAAAAACTCAAATTTCAAAGTCAATTTTCTGAACAGCAAATTTAGAAGGTGAAATATTTCTATTTTAATTTTTTAATTTTTAATTTCTATTTTGTGTATTTCATGTATCTGAATGGAGAATAAATAAATAAATAAAAACCTTACTTTAAAATCTACTTTTAATAGCAACGAACCGGACTCCACGATAATTATAGTTAAACTTTGGTCGCTGCACCATTTGGTCGCCACATTTTGCGTGAAATATTCCTGCACTGAAAATAATGAGGCCCACGAAAGTTACGCGCACGAATAGCAGCCCCAATTTGCCGCTGCTAATTTGCAAGCTCTCGAAAGGCACGTCTAATTTTACAACCCTATTAGTGGGCGAAGCGTGACGTGCGCGCGAGGCAAATAAAAAGGAAGCACTCACCTCGAGGTAGGCCTCGTTGTAAGGGTTGAAGGTGGAGTTGACCTTGCGCAGGAGGATGTTGATGTGCGGCAGTCGGTGCAGGAACTCGGCCACGGCGGTGGGGCTGTAGCGGGCCGGAGGCTCCTCCATGCTGTCTTAATCAGCGCCCCGTCATAAATGACTCGCCTGAGAAAAAAAAAACACAAATTTATATATGTGTGGAAAATAACAATGTTCGCTCTTTTGCATTTGTGTTGTATGGCTGAGGGCGAAACAATGGAATGTGCAGGGCAGGGATGGCGAAGCATTTCAAAATAAATGTGTGTTTTGTTCGTTGGAGGGCAAGTGCACGTCTGCACCAGTCACACCGGCTCGAGACAAAGGCGCGCCTCATTAAAAAGTAATTCACTGTGCCACTGGAAAAAGTTCGTTCGAGCATGTCGCTCTGCAGTTTATTTTTGTTGCCACTCTTTTCATTTTTGAAAACGAAATCCTCTCTCTGCAGTGGTTGAATGTCTGACCCGAGCAAATGGTCATAGCGGTCGTCAAAGGGAATTTGGAATTGCGGCCTGGATTTTACATTTCAAAAGAGCGCCTTTTTATGTGCTACTCATTCCAGCTGCCCGAGGCACGAGTTATTGCCACCGAAATTCGCAGGTTAAATCTGATTTATTTTGGCACGATTCGTAATTGTTTTTTTGCATGCAGATTTAATTGAATTTAACTAAATAATTGATTAATTATTTATTAATTTTTGTTTCATATAAATAATAGCGTTAAAGTTTAGTTATTAAATTCATTTTTTTAATATTTTTTTTGTACATATTATAAAAAATTAAAATATAATTTAACGTCTTTAAATTTAAATTTTTTAAACACAAAAATAATGAAATAAATTTACAATTTACTAATTTTATACTTCTTTTGTCAAAAATATTGGAATAACTGTAACAAAAATAATTTCAAGCTACATTTTCCTTCCTGTTTTTTGTTTAATTGCTTCCCATGCTAGATTATAAAATTCTGTTGAGTCTATCTATGAACAGATTATTCGCGGCTTGATAATAAATAAAGAAATAAACCAGATTGACTTCAATTCCGGCTTCTACTTCCTTAGATTATGATAAATGTCAATCTTTCTTTCTTAGTTTATTTTTTCATTCTTAATTATAAATCGTAGAAACTGTTTGTTTGAAGACATTGAAACTCAAGGGGATGATCATGGAAATGAAGAGATCAGGCTTTTCCTCGTTGCAAAAATTGTTATTACTAAAAGAAAAAGAGCTCAGTCTGGGACCCTATACCCTATTTCATGAGCAAGAAAAATTAAAAAAAATCAGCATGATTGAAAAAGACCAAACAAAAAATCTTAAAACTTTTATGTTAAAATGTTTTTTTTTTTCAATTTGCATATTTTTTTCTCTTGCTCATGAAATAGGCTCGCAGATCGTGACCAAAACTGGTAGAGCCATTTAACATTTTTTGCACCGAGGAAAATCCCAATCTCTTCATTTCCAAAGAAGTTGGTTCATTCAATTTTTTTCCACCATTTATTATCAGTACAAAAATTAACTGGAAATAAATGTACTTCGTTTTGCCAGTGAATTTAGTTTTATGGTGAGAGTTGGGTGCGAATTTGTCACCACGATACTCCTCCGCCCTACAAATATGGTGCGAGCTGCGAGTTCTCCACAAAAAGCAGAGGGAATAAAATATTTCCGTTCGCTTCCTCTCGCTCGCAGTACATGAAAGCAAGCCGAGGAGAGTGCTTAGAAAAAAATAAAAAGACCCGATTTTCCACGCTCCTCTGGCAACCGAGTCTAGAAACACAAAAGCATACTATTATAACGTCAGGGAAAGAGAAAAAGAGAGAGAGAATGATGGACGCGTTCTTTCTCTAAAGCAGTTCTGCCTAACTGGCTCTTGCTTTTAGTTGTACATATCAAGCAAATGTGGAGGCAGAGAGAAATAAAAGAGAGGATAAAAAAGCAGGTCAGGGAAAGAGAAAAAGAGAGAGAGAATGATGGACGCGTTCTTTCTCTAAAGCAGTTCTGCCTAACTGGCTCTTGCTTTTAGTTGTACATATCAAGCAAATGTGGAGGCAGAGAGAAATAAAAGAGAGGATAAAAAAGCAGAGGGCGCGGATACTCTTCCAAATAAGGTTTTGTTTTCCAGCCAAAGTGGTACGCCCATCAGGCAAATTTTGCAACTTTTATGGCAAAAGGATCAAAACTCTCTTTGCAAATGATAATAATTGCCAATGAAAAAGAAAATTCAACTCTTCGGCATTCAGCAAAGATGTTTTGAGCCAATTTGAATCATTTCCATATAAAAATTCCACCAAAATAGATGCGCCGCGTTAAAATAAATAAATCATTCGGATGTGTTTATAAGAAAATTGCGAGCCTGCGTTCTAAAAAGCGAAATATTTCTGTGCTCATAAATCACCAAGTCGTTGTTATTCCAGCTTCCAAGGATCAACGTCGCGCTCTTTAAAAAGTCAAACCGAAGCCATAACTCACGCCGAAGGCGACGCAAAAAGGCCCAAACGCACCCGAGCGGACAAAAACCGCTTTCGGGTGTCGTCGGCGGCGGACCAATAATTATTCCATTACGAGGGTGTCATGATATGATGTTGTTATCCATCGGGCAACACGGACGGAGCCTGCACCCGAGAGAGCGACTCAAATGCAAGGCGTGGCTGCGGCACTGGCTGCTGCCGCTGCTGCTTCTCTATCGATCCATCCGCCGGGGCTCGTCGAGCACATGGCGGTGAATCTGTGGGGACTCGCGGTGGATCCGAGAAAATGCCGGCCGGGACCCACGGAGGAAGCATCAATCAGCGCACACCACATTATACACGCTCCCAACAATCGCCACCGAAATGTAATGAATGGGACAAGAATGGCGGCCAAGAAAGAGGGCCCAATTTATTTCCACTCAATTTGACGCTGATCGTTCCAACGCTGCGCCAATTTCAGCACAGATATTAAAATTATATGTTATTGTGAACAAAAAATTCTCACTTGGAGAAGATGAAATAAAAAAAGGGAAAAAAATATACCAAATTTGCATATAAAATTGTAGTCAAATCTTTCAACTTCAAAAACAAAAATCTGAACTACCTCAAATCCATTTTCAGTTCTTATTTAATTTTTTTTTCTTTCATTTCAGTTTTCAGGTTTGTTTGGCATCATCTTTTAAAATTAAAAAAAAAACAGAACAATTAATATTTCATCTCGAGCACCAATTTAGCCAGAGTTTGAGTGCAAAACTTTTTAGAGCAGAATTGTTTCAAGTTTCGCGCGATTCACTTGTGCAGAATTTGAATATAAATCTGCCTCAACTTTCTTCTTGCCGTGCATGAACAAGTAAGTTTATGAAAATCAAAAAGTTTGCCCGGCGAGAACAATGAACGTGTAAACTTGTACATGCAACAACGGCTGCGAACTTTGATGGGTTCGCGCCGCATTTATTCCAGACGGCTTTTTTATGCGCGACGTCTGACTGCTGTCAACCGACGAACACTTGAGAAAAGCGGCGAAGGAAATCTTTGTTGGCCGGAAAAGTTGGTTGGCGGCGCAAAATTTTCCGCGATGAAAAATGCAAAACGGCGAGAGAGTGATTCGAATGACGACGGACATGTTTTCCGGTTCCGTGGAGTGAAAATTGAAAAAATAAAAATGTTTGCTCTCAATCTCGCACCAAATTGTGATTATTTAAATGAACAAAATATAAATTCTTTGAATTCAGACCGTTTTAATAAATAAAATGAATGAAATAAATAACTAAATTATAAGCTGAATAAAATAAAATGTTTGTAATTCAATCAATAATAAATAAAATTAAATGAAATAAAAGGAATAATATAAATAAATATCAAATCAATAAATAAAAAAGGCACATTGCGGCGGATGGAGTCTTTTCGATCTCGGGTTTTGGCAAATTTCTTGCTAGTTTTGGTGCCGTTTAACAACTCCTTTCTTTTCATGGAATAATTTGGACATCAATTAATAAAAATTTCAAATGTTTTAATTCTTCCTTACGAGGAATGAATTTACGAGCAATTTCGCTCAGTCCAAGGATTAGGCAATTCCACGTAAATGAGAAAACGGAATTGCTCATCAACCGAGTGAGTCACCAAACAAACCAGACACTCTTTCCTTATATGTATTGGAAACGACACAAAAGCAGGGTGTCGCGTCATCGACACAAGTGCAGCAACAATTTATTCACATGCTAGAAAGGTTTAATCCATAATGTGCTCGCACAACTCACGTCGAGGGCCAAAAAGAACCGGCAGACATAGAATGACGGGGCTGGAGAGCCCTGCTTTTATTTGTGCGATGAACTCATTCGATTACGACCCCGCGTGTTGTTCAATACCAAGAGCAAGTGTCTATGTCTGTCTGTCAGTGCATTATCCAACGCCATAAAAATGGGCCGGCAATCGATCGGCCGGATTTCGAGTGTCAACAAAGGATCTGCCAAATAATCCGTCTCTCGGCGCACAATACACGGAGGACCGCTTTTCTCGAGGAATGCGTCGCTGTCGGAGCGAGATATACCCACGCAGCGCCCAAATTAAATTGGATTGATTTCCTTTCATTGATGTTCATTCCGTGCCGAATAATTATAGAGGAATCGGGTCGGATTTGCTCCGCATTTGCAGAGTCGTCTCTGCAGCAGATAAATTTTCAATATCCGATGCGGAGGGAAAATAAATAGTGACTCAAAGGATTTGCGCTGATGCGATCCCCGGGCGCCTCGAACTTTTCTTTGGCACACACGGAAGACTAAAAGTAGAGTCGGAGAGGAGCTGGAGAAATAATTTCGACCGATTTGATCAGAATGAAAGGCGAAATAAAGAAGTCTTCCGTTTAATATCGTATGAGACGGATAAAAGAGCGGTAAAAGCAGTTCTCATACATATAGACTGGCTCTTTCTCGTAAAAACTAAAGCGGCACGTATTCCACTTGGAGCTGCTCGGCGATGCACAAATGTTCACGTATGTGTGCGAAGAGAAAAGGGCGATCTTTTGCAAACGAGAGTGGGTTTTATAGTGCACGAGTTAATTTGCAACGAGATTTGCCAAAAGGGGTTTTGTGTGGAAAGGGAATTGAAAACTTCCATCATTTTTATTTGTAATTTTCTGACCAAGATTAAAATACTCTCTTTATTCATC